AGTGATTGCACGGTGTACAGTGCACCTGTGTGTGCGTAGTAGATAGTGCATTGTACATTGTTCGTGATACGTGTAATACCGCGAATTTTTGAAAAAGTTATTAAAATAAAAATAACTTGTAGAGTCACGCGTACGATACGAATTTTGTTTTTAATAATCGTTTTGCATAGTAGAGTCACTCACATTTATTTATGGAAACATACACGTATATAACTAGTATGCATATATACTAGAATATACTTGTATTTTGCAGTAGTTTTATTTGCAATAATCACTAGCCTTAGCAGACGATTACAGCAACTGGTACGTAACCTTATAGAATATAAGTTTAGAAATACGCGGTTGAACTAGGGTGACGGAGGTGCCCCGGGGCATGCTCTCTAGTGTAGGCTTTTGCACCCTGGTGGTATGTGTGAGAACCGTGGAGTGAATGGGTGGGTATGTATGTGTTTTTCTCTGAGTGAATGTGGAACTTTAATTTTAAGTATGTAGGACCCCGGAAAAGCACATGGTACACTTGCACTTTGATAGTGCAAATCCCATCTCCGGGTTTTTTATATAGAATTGTCACAAAATTATATCTTTTTATTTTATCATGCTTACTTAGTAAATTTATTTTGTGACAATTCTATCATTTTTAATATGTATCATGATTCACAAAGGTATTTGCAACCATTTGAAAGATTTATTTATCGATTCTATCTCGCTCGAGATAGAATCGAAATTAAATTCGCAAAACCTTTGATGAATTTGATACTTAGTTTTAAATATAACAGGTTTAACACTTCGCACTATCGCGATTTAGTCTTTCAAATGTTTGATATAATTTAATATAAATTAAATAAAAATATTGAAAAGAAATGCATTGCATTTTTAGTATTATTTTTATTTCAATTCGTTTTTATTATTCGATAATAAAAGTGCGAAGTGTTTTTAGGTTCATCGATTAACTTAATTAACTGCTCGGACATTCGATTAAATATGCTCGTGTAATATGTGCACAGTCGATGAACTTTAAGTTCATTGATTGTCCATGAGCTAGGATAGCTAACGGTAAACGCGAATTTATTTTGTAATAATTATTTAACAGAGTCATAACGAACATCGAAATTATTTGCAAAATGGTATGTATAATAGAAAATAAATGAAATTATTTCATAGGTATTGTAATATGAAATATATTTCATTTATATTAGTATTATAAGCAGTTGAGAGTAATTGGGTGATAATGTCTTGAAGTCGTTTCTAAATTGTAGGACCATAATTTGGCATGTTACAACGATACGGTATTAGAATAGAATCGATAATTTACATGGTTAATAATATTCCTTTCGACGAAGAGATATCTCTCGATCAAAAGGTAATAATTATTTTCTATGTAAAAAAAGCTCAGGATGTTTTACTAATCACATTTTTATTTTCAGGGTTGTGTTAGGGTTGGTTAGGTTGGGTTTTTTTCATTTTATAATTTAGAATCAGGGACGATTCTGATTCTATATCATTGATCGTTGTAACATGCTAAATTATGAGAATACTTTTTGGGAACGATTGACGTTTTTGATCAATGATTCTTTTCATGCTCGCACGTAGGGAATGTCCGACAGTAGGCATCAAGAAAGAAGAGGCAAAATGCYGAAGAGGCCCCCACTTAATTGTGGCTCAAGAGGGCAACTACAGACTCAATGAGTTATTTGCAAATTCAACAGCATGGTTGAATTTTTGCGAATAGCTCGTTGGTCATTTGATATTTTGATKGTTTTATTATTTTGCTCGTCAATAATTTATAGTGGTTTTTTAAGAATGGAAGTAATTAATATAGTTTTCTTTATGTTATAGGTGAACATCGTTGAAATTACCACCACCAACTCTACCAGAGATTTTTATTGCCAAAAATAAATCGAGTATTTGATAAATTTGATTTTATAGAGTACAATCCCATTCAGAATTCCCCTCTTACTTTAATATCATATCATTTTTTCATTTCCTATCACCCCATACCTTTCATTTTTCATTCTTTATTTCATTCATAGAAACTAATTATTTTATAATATTTTTTAATATATCTTTTTTTTCTAGGTATTAAGAACTTAATTTTTATTTTATTTTGTTTCAGGATATGATTAATTCTAATGCACTAGTAAGTGCATCGGATTTTTCGTCGAGAACTTGCCCCTCGATGCATTCATTGCATCTTTTCAACTCCTCAAAATAATCTTTTCTTTTTCAGGTTCGTTTCGAGTTTCTTTTATCAATGGGTAGCGAGTAGATTCTTTCTTTGGTTTCTACGCAAAGAAAGGATCTACTTCAGGGATACGACCCTGCCTTACGCGAGCCATGATTTTCTCCTACCTCCAATAATTGGGAGAAAATCATGTCCTTACCTTGAATTTCACCCCATCAATCATCACTATTTCCTTACTTCTTTATTTTTCTTTTTGTTTTAGGTTTATTCTTGTTCTAGGTTTCTCATAACAGTGGAGTATCCTAGAGGAGAGGGATAATGGACCAGAAGAGGACTGAGTTATGGTAAACGGGTTGTATTTTAATTTATTTATTACTTTTTTATTTACAGGATAAATTATAAAAACAATGTAATATTACATCCAAGAATAATAGGAATCAGATAAGAAGAGGACTAATAATTATGATAAACGGTAATATAAAATAATTACTTGCAAAAATAATTAAAGTATTTTAATTACCATCTAATATCGTCTTTTTTTCTACAGGTACCATCTAATATTATATTTACTTATTTTTATTATACGATATTTTAGATATATTAAATTCAAATTTTTCTCTTTATTCTCGATAATAATTGTTGGGTTTTTTTGAATGGTACTCTTATGGTGGGGCCTAAGAGTTAGGTTCTTTTCTTTCAATTATATCGGATGTGGTCATCTTCATGATGCACATCCCTCTTGGGTCTTCAGAAGCGGTTACCTCCTCGTGGTTAGACCCGGACAATGGTATTTTACTTTCTATGTAATGTTTAACATATGTTTATATGCTATACATTCCATTGCAAGTAAAATCCAGCCAAAGACCGCTTACCATAAACATTATAATTGTAATTAGTTTCTTTAAAATTTTCCAAATGATCATATTTTTGTTCCTTTCCTTGATTCCTTTTCATGTAACAAATTTATAGAAACTAATTACTTTATAATGTTTTCTTTTTTTTTATTAATAATAATTTATATTAATTTTAATTTTCAATACAAATAATAGAAATTTTTTAAGTGAAAATTTTTTCAGAATAGGTATGATTTGAAAAAATGTAACGGAGCGGTAGGCGGCGATGTAACGGAGCGATAGGCGGCGGTGTAACACAGCAGCGAGCGTCTATGAAACGGCCAAGATACTAAATAAGAAGAGAAGAAGAGACAAGCATATAGACAAAAGCCTGCGAGAGCAGAAGACAGAATATAGCTATATAGTTTTTCGTATTCTCGGTCTTTGATTCGTAATCAACACCACGCCGCACCGCACCGCACACGTCGAACCGAACCGCATACTGCATTTCGAATTCCACATTCCGCATTTCGCATTACACATTCCGTATTCCGCATTACACATTCCGCATTCCGTTCATAAACAAGCCTCGTAAATGAGCTTCCTAAAAAAGCCTTGTAAACAAGCCTCGTAAAAGAGTCTTGTAAACGAGCGGAATACGGAATGAAAAATTGGGAATGCGGAATGCGGGATTCAATATGCGGATTGTAGTGTGATGCGTTGCGGTGCGGTGTGTGTTTGTGTGTGTCAAAGCAAAGTTACCATACATTTTTTAATTACCATAAGCAACTTGTCTTATTTTTTCAAATTGAACTCTTGCTTACTGTGTAATATGTTATGTATTATATGTCAATAAAACGTAACATATTTTCTGAATGTGGTAACAATATTGTAATAATAATATTTTAACAAATAAACCCTACAATTATCCTACACCTGATATTCTGCATTCGTTTCATTCTTTCGATACTTAGTTTTTTTAATGTTTCACTTCTAACGCGTGTGATCTGCACACATGTCGTTTTTTTTCATTCTGTTACTGTTGTTATATTGTATGTTATTATTGATTGAGTTTGCTAATACAATTACTGTTTTATTTAGACAACTTTAAAGATTTTTAATTAATATTTTTACTAATATTACATACTTGGTATGTGTAATTTAGCATTAAAATAGTTGCAAATTTGGATAAATTTTACAAATATTTAATAATTTTAACTTTTAATTATGTCAATTCTCATAGATTATTAAATTATTTATTTTTATTTGTGCCCGAAAGATAGCAACCCGTAATACATGCGTGTATAAACAGTTTGGATTGAAAAAAAATTTCGTCCCAACAGATGACGCTCGTAAGCAACATTTTCAAAGTGTATCTGGAGGGTTGCATACCTACAGGCGTTAATATTTTTATAAATAATCATAAAAATTTTATTTTAATTTTTTAATTAGTTAATGTATATTTTTGGAATAATATTTAGTATCTTATATGAGAAGTAATTAATTAAAAATTGAAATTTATCAATGTTAGACATTTATTGATCGTCGTAAAAATAATCAAAGATTAGTAAGTTGCGGTGCATCGCTGCAGTGTTTCATTTTTTCAAATCACCTCCATTTCAAAGAAGTTTTCACTTTAAAAACAACTCCCAGATCAATCAATGATTGAATACAACAATGGGCGCAAGCAAGTAGTACGCTACTTATTACGTTACTTTTTACGCTATTATTTATGCTATCACAACACTTATGAATGGACCGTCATCGCGTAAATACCTACTGCTGCCCACTGGTGGTCAGGGTACTAACTATGGTTAGTTTGGTTATACGAAAAGTTGACTTCTATATGTTTCTGTAGTTTTTGCATACTTTCCTATAGTTGATACCAATTACATTCACCAACTAAAAAGACTGTAGATGGCGTTGAATAATATTTACATGTGAGTAATATATATATATATATATATATATTTCTTTATGCTCCATACATTCAAAAATATTATAGGATTTATGCTGCTAACTCACTGGTGTCTCAATTAACTACGGATAATGACAAAGTATATTTAAATTTGCCAGTGATGATTTGTGCTAGGGTTTCTTAAAATTTTATTTGTTTGTTTATTATTCAGTAATATTAAATTAATAATCTTTGCTTATATTCATATAAAATTATTTTAAAGACGCATTTAAATAACCTAATATATAAAATGGCCGATAAACTTGTTGAGAATTTAGAGGAAGATAATTCTGTTACGATGCTTGATGTTCTTCAAGAAGAGAGTCAACTGGAAGAAAATGCTTATGCAGTTTTAGGTGCATCCGATGATAGAAATTGTACTTATAACAAGGTATGATAATAACGGTTGTCAAATAAACATTTGGAGATTCATAGGAATGTAATGGTATATATTTATACATTTATATATTTCGAGATTTTAATTATATATAGCGTTTTAGAATTGCATTATTAGAAAAATAGAAAAAAAAAATAAAAAAATAGAATATTGTAAAATACGCCACATTACAGAAGTTCGAGATTACAGGGATATATCAGACAGGCATTATATGCTTGTAAAACATGCTGCTCGAACAAGAATGTACGTGCAGGTGTTTGTCTTGCATGCAGTTTTCATTGCCACGAAGGACATGAACTGGTTGAATTGTATACTAAAAGAAATTTTAGATGCGATTGTGGAAATTCTAAATTTGGAAACAAGGAATGCAATTTAGAAAAGGTAAAAAAATTTCTAATGCATTGTATTATAATAAAAGAATGATGAGAAACATATATAACAATGATATTTTCCTTTTCAAGTGTAAAAATGCAACAAATGTCGAAAACATGTATAATCAAAATTTTGATGGTGTTTATTGTACTTGTGCAAGACCATATCCGGATCCTGAAAATGAAAACAATGACGAAATGTTACAATGTGTAATATGTGAAGATTGGTATCATTCAAAGGTTGGACATTGTGTGAATATAATATAATAACTTATATTATATTAATTCTTGTCGATTCTTTACCAATCTATGATACTTATTTGGTATTTGTACTTTTTAGCATCTTGAATGCAAAGATGTACCAGGGGATGATGCATACGCAGAAATGATATGTGCTGCTTGTATGGATAAGCATGATTTCCTTTGGAAATATGCTGCAAAATATTCAAGTAAATGAATAATTGTTTATATTATATAATTTACAATTAATAATTAAAATTTGTATCATCATTTTTTTTTTTAGCAATGTACAATTCTTCTACTGCATCTTGCAAAAATGGGGAGAAAATATTGAACGTAGAAACCCTTCCAAATGAATGTACAATGCCTCAACAAAATTTGTCAGATATAAAAAAAGGTAGTTGTTTTTGGTTAGAGGGATGGAGAAGTTCTTTGTGTAATTGTGAATCATGTAAAAAGGTATAATATATTTATTACCTATAGATGCTATTACAAAGAGAAGTATTAGATTTTTAAAATAATGGTTGACTTTATAAATAGATATATACAGAACAGGGTATATTATTTTTATTGGATCCGAAAGATAGTGTGCAGGCTTATGAAGAAGCAGGTAAAATAACTAAGCATGAATCTCAATATGAAAAAGGTATGAAAGCTCTAGCATCTTTGGATCATGTACAACAGTTAACTGCAATTGAAGGTAAAAAAAAGAAATTCATTGTACTTATATCATTGTATATTTTATACAGTAATAATAATAATAATAATATATTATACATAATATATAATGCCAACAGAATACAACAATTTGAAAGAAAGACTTAAAGAATATTTACAAAAATTTGCGGAAAATAAAAAAGTTGTTCGAGAGGAAGATATTAAAGAATTTTTTTCAGAAATGGAATCAAAAAAACGTCCAAAAGTTGTAGTACCAACATATTGTCGTTAAAATGAATAATTTTTCATTTTAACGATTAAATCAACAAGATTTTTCATTTCTTTAATTAAACGTAAGAGATATCTTTAAAAAATATAATTAATGTCAGAAGATCTGTCAAAAGAAATATAATTAATAAATGATCATTTTTTTTGTTTTCTACTAAAAAAAAAAAAAAAACAACAAATTTCTCTTTACCTTCTTTACTTAATATCTAAATTAATTATTTACAAAATTTATTAATTATGTGTTACTTGAACTCTCACAGCAGTTGACGATGAGGACAGACAACAAATTATGTTAAATGACTGATTATTTTTCAACAAGTTTTATTAATATTTAAATGAATCTTTATATATGAACAATTCATAATTTTTTAATTATTTAGATAGGGTAGGCTTCTTCAAATCACAAGATTTTCTTTGAACATTTAATTAACTATCAATAATTTAATTAATTTTTTAAACAATTTTCAATAATCTAATAATCGTTATTATTAGATTATTAGTACGTTATTATTTAAAAATATTTTGTAATGTTATTTTCTAAGTAACATTATTTTGTTATAATATAGTAGCATTAGATATTTATGTCAATTAATTTTCTTATCACACATATTCACACGCTATTATACTATATTTTTACAAGTTGTTTTTGTACATGTAAAATCACTTTTATTATGTAATTGCAAAGGCAAGACTAATATCGGATCGTTACAATTTGGCTTGTCTGTATAAATAGACCATGTATTTTCAATGCAGTTAAAAATTCCTGAAAAAGAAAAAAAAAATCCAAATATTAGAGAAAAAAAAAAATAAATAAACGTGTAATTATATAAATGATAACATCAGAGAGATTTACCAGTAGCTATTGTTTTTACGTAGTCGTCAGGATTTATATCTTGATAAACACCATACTCGGAATCTGTTTGGTCGCTAAGAATGTTAATAACATCTTTAAGACACTTAGGTGGTGGATGTTTACAAATTGCTTGCATTCTATGTATACTACTATCTATTATTAAACCAGTTACTTCCGGAATTTTCAATCTTAAATATCTGAAATAAATAGTTATGAAAATTCAATGCCATTCATTCATTCATTCATTATTATTATTATGATTATTTAATAGAATGTCAACAAGTAATACTTACTTGTTACAGTGATAAATATGTTCACCCGGACTTGCAGTTAATATACTAAGCTGAGATTGAGTTCCATTAGCTTCGACAGGTCCAACTTCAGCGTTATGAAACATTCTATCACCTTCTTGTTTAAGAAAGGTCATATTTACCGAAAATCCTTCTGCCGCGCCGTAACCTTCGTTTCTTAATACTTTTTGAGCTTCCACATAATTTTCAGCACCAAGAAGTGCGCGAGTAATGAAATAACGTGCTATAATAAATATTCTTTTATTAGACTATTTAAAATGATCCATTTTTTTTTATTATTCTCTTATTATATTTATATAAAATATAAAATATTAATATTGAAAGTAAATTATACTCTTACGTGTTTTGCCAGATCTAAGAATAGCTGCGCTGAGAGTATTAATAGTAAAAACTAAACCATGATGGTTATAACCCATCGTATATCCTGGTAAAAATCCAGCATAACACAATGAAATAAATTTTTCTTCTCTGTAACCGTTTTCAATAACATGAGCGTTTACGAGGTACCAGTGGTTCAAAGTTTCGGTCAAAGCATCCTCGTTATGTCCAATGATTTGCTGTGTACATTTTTTGCAAACAATTTTCATTATAATTTTGACGAGTAATATCAAAGATAATATACGAAGGATTATTAATAATAATAATAATAATAATAATAATAATAATAATAATACTTTTTTCTTCTTACTTGTGTTGGCTGATTGCAAATGATTGTGGAACACCCAACAGGTAGAGTATTTCCAGGTGTTTCATCAATGACATTTGGTAAAATGTCATCTAGATGCATTAAGAACAACTACGAATGATAAATAATTAGCATAAATATTTGAGATCCTTAGTAGAGTAAAGAGAAACTACCTCCTACGCAAGACAATATAAAACGCGCAAAGAAATTAAAAAGGTAAGAGCAATTTTATGTTGATTAGATTGACTATAGTTCATTGTCATTTTATGATACTTGATTAGCAATAAAACTTGAATAAAAAAGAATTAAAATAATTAGGATATTTTTGAAAAATATAACATCAAAACAAAAAGATGTTTTTGCATTGTGTGAGCACCGTAGAACCACACACATTAAACTTCTTTTTTTTTTTTTTGTTAAGACATTTAACGTATCTTTTAAAATAATAAAAATATTTAAAGTAATAACGTTAGCTCTAACTCATTTTGTATATTTTAATCAGAGTCTAAAATAACATATGAAGGTGAACGTTATTATTTAAAGTTACCTTATAAAAAGGAACATTAGCACCATCCGCGGTACCCTGAATTTCTCTGACATATTGAGGAAATTGTTTCTTTACACATTGTAAAGTTTCATCATAAACCTTTCTACCTTTTTCGGTATTAAACAATTTTATATAAATTTCATGTAGCGGTTTGTATGCATCTACATAATCTCGAATTAATTTGCCGAACGTACGTCCCTAGAACAGGAAAAGAAAGTAAGAAGAAATAAATTAATTAAATAAAGATGGACGAATTGATATTGGATTAAAATTAAATGAACATTTTTTTCTTTTTTTTTTTAACAAATTACTTCGTCTTATCCTGTATAATGTTTAAAAAAAAAAAAAAAAAAAAAAAATACGTCAACAATTAAACATAAATATACGTCATTTAATATTTAACAAAATGATGTATTGCAAATATTAACATAAAAATATTAGAAATTTCAAATTGTAGATAAATGTTGGTATTTATGTTAATGGAACAATAATGATAAGATAGGATCTAAATTAGTATATGTGTTAATAATATAAGGAGATCATTGATCATAATACATGTCTTTAATCTTAAGACACGACACAAACTCTATTGACTTGTAAATCCGGTATTTTCATGTTCTCTTTTTAGCATTACGATATAAGCAACATTACACATGTCATTTAAAGTTATTGTATCGTAAAATGTCTACACAAAGGAGTGTTATATAATAATAGTGATCAGTGCTATCTAATCGGTTACTGCAATAAATCGCATTTTAAACACAGACAAGACTAAGATATGATGTTTTTCAATGATTAAATAGTGTCATATATAAAATCCTTGTACACAAATGTATAAAAAGGGTTTAAACATTAGGTAATATCGTAAGAATAATAACAATTTTTAAATGTATTATTAAAAACAAATGTGATAATTTATCAAAAAGAGATTGTTTCCAATTATTTAATTTTATATTTAATACAGTTGATTTAGACAATTTTTTTTTTTCTTTTTTTTTATGTATTCTTATAAAAAGTAAGAGATTGTAATAAAAAATATAATGACAAATATGAGATAGAAATGAGATCATGAAAATCTGGAATTGATTTCAACAGAAAACATACACCCGCAACTACACGTGCATGCACACGCACGCATACACAAAAAAGACAAACACGTTTTCACGTATAACTGAAAATATTATTCACTCATTTGATTTTCATTCGAATCAAATCATTGATTATTTTTTTTTTTTTTCTTCAATTAGTCCTCATAATTTATCACCTAATCGATTAACACTTTTTCACAGTTGATTGATTTTTCTATGTATGCAAGATATGACAAGAAATTTCCCTTTCCACCATTTACTCAATCGTTCGTCAAATCGTTTGGATATTTTCTTAGCATTTTACTGTTACTTGTTTAACCTGATAAGGAAAAATTTAATGCACCTTGTAATTAATGATTACATAATATAATATTTTATGCAACGTAGATTTTCTCTGATAAATTCATTATAGCGAATTAAAATGAAGTAATCAATCGAGTATTGGGATATTATTTTGATTAAATCCGATTAATCTGTTTTTTTTTTTTTTTTGAAAAAAAAAAAAACAATTATATTTATCTTTATATATGACAATAAGTGAATGTATGTAAAATAATTTTTGATTGCTAATTTTTGACATATTTAAAATTGATAAAAACTCTTTAGAAAATTTCTCTATTTTCTTTTCTGTAAATTGAATTAATCTTATAACATTTTAGAAAATACATCTTAATTTATCAAATTATCATTATTTCTGTCCAACGTTTGATTGGAAATATGCAGACGCAGATTTGTCAATAATTATATTATAGAAAAAAAATAAAATTTAATTTATATTTTTTTGCGATGCGAAATAAAATTTAATTTATATTTTTTTTAATTAATAAATATTAATAAAATATTACGTTAACTTAATATCATCTTTTCTATTGTCATTTATTAGTTCACAAGATACGTGTTTGAATGTGTGATAAGATTTGAGTAATTAGGATTTTTTTAGGACACAAAATTAATCCCATATAAAATAAAGTTGATCACCCTTGACATATATCATACAATGATAAAATAATGTCTCGTTCCTTCTTTCTTAATTTTGTCTATTTTTCTCTTCCTGTTAAAAATTTCATTATTTTATAATAATAATATTAATAATATATTATGTAATAACTACTTTGCGGTCGTGAAAGTAGTCTTATTAACATAGAACTTAATTATGCATTATGGCAACAGAAAGATTTATTCATATTACAAACTATGCACAAATACTAATGAATGTAAAATGTAAATAAATTCGCTCATACCGATTGAGCGATTACACATTGGGCGCTTTAAAACGCGCGCGTTAGCAAAGCGGGCGTTTGAAAGCGCCCAATGCAATGTGAACTAGCTCATATAAAAACTCGTTTGTAAAACTAAAAATAAAGAAAAGGAAAAAAAAATATTGCAATTGTAATATATAATTATAATATAATTTCGACATAATAATATCAAATTGAATGAGAGCTGATACATATATATATGTATATATGTATATTAAGTTGAAAAAAAAATAAAAAAAGAGCTTACAATGTCAAATCCAATATCATAGTAAGTTCCTCTAACGTGAATGATCGGTACTGCGTTTCTTCTACCAATATCTTTCGTTTCTTTTCCATTTTCATTTGGTAGTTCCATAGTCGTTGTCATTTTGAAGATCTGAAATAATTTGAAAATGAAACTTTGAATGATTTTGATCAATATGCATTCTTTCAATTGTGTTATATTAGTTTCATTATCATTAAATAAATAACATTTTACAACTATGATAATTGACGTGTATAGTCATTGTAAAATTAGCTGATAATTGTTTCTTCAAACACACCTTGCGTCTTAATTCAAAGTAAAGAAAAGATATCATTAAAATACTTCAGGGATAATCCGACATACTATACTACTTTATGGATAATCTGATATACTATATAAACGAAAAAAAAAGAAAAGTATAAAATGATAAGTTGAACACACGCAAAGCTTTTACTATTATCGATCGAAGTTCCTTTTGCTTTTCTCAATTTTTTTTTTTTTATAATAAATGAGAACAGTTACGTTGCATCTTTAGTTTGAACAAACAAACCATGTGTTAACATTTTATTTATACAAGTGATTTCACGTTTTCGAAAATGTTAACAAAACAAGACGTTACTATGTCTACATTCTTCAATATCTTTTTTTATTAATTAAATCGAATTTCTTGTTAACAAAATAATTATACAGTATTTAAATATTTTTATTTCACTTTATATTTAGATATAAATTAGAAATAAATTACAAAATGAAAATTATTGTGTTACATTTGTGTAATGGGTGTGTATATGCGGTGAAATCGATGCTGATCGATTTTTCAAGCTTCTAAAATATCATCAAGCACGCAAGTACAACTTCGTAGTTGTGAAACTATGAATGAATCTTTAACACATTTTATTTTACCAAAATTAAAATAAAAAAGTTATACATTGATCAATCGTGTAACACTGTCAAATTATGTGTTGAAAATTGTAAAAAATTAAAAAAATACAAAAAAACTGAGCATTGAATGTAAAATAGACACATCATGTTGATAATTTATATTTTTATTATAAAATTTATATTTATAACACGCTTGTTTATTTATATATTTACCGTTTGCAAAATAATTCCTAAATTGCAGATAGGAAAAAGCTTTGAATATTCCTCGTATATTGGACAAAAAAAAAATAAAAGAAACTTTGGATGTTTAAAAAAAAAAAAACAAAAGGAAAAGTTTCACTGAAAATAATCGGGGCAATTTAACAATAAGAAGGGAACAACAACAACGACCAACGACGATGACGATGATCGTTTCGCGACTGTCGACCGATTGCAATTTCTACTCTAGGAAGACAACTAAACGTGTAATCTATGTTCCATCGACTTAAACCGACTTCCACGGCGCAACTAACAACGGCGCAAACATTCCAGCCAGGTAAGAATAAAGTATTCTGTCTATACTAAGCTCGTTGGGATAACCTTGATATTTATACACGTGCATATACGTTCGTCGTACTCTGAGAAATCAAAGGCAATGATCTTTGCAAAAGAGCTTTTACGAAAAAAAAAAACAAAAAATTAATTGACAATGTGATATTATATATGCATATAAATTTGTAAATATTAAATGTTAATCAATTAACCGTTAACATTTCAATTGTGCCTCTCAGGGACCATCGATTTTCAGCGTTCTGCTTCAAATATATCGTTGGGTCGTTATTGGAAATTATTACTAAACAAAAATGATACTCCCTCAGTCATAAAAAAGTATTTCAAATCTGACTCTTAAAATTTTTCAAATCAAAGTATGATAGTTAATTAAAATTTGGAGCATTAAGGGTTAATAATCATCATGCTAATTATTTATCTCTACATTGGTTAATTATTAATGGAGAATCAACGCTAAACTCACCCTCTTTCACGTTATCGTCCTTTCCTCCACAATTTCATTTTGAAATATAACAAGCCTCCGTCATATTCCCAGATAAATTTCCGTTAACGCCTATGTTCCTATCGATATTAAATTGGATAGAAATTAGAATCTCGTTCCTTCTATTACCTATTGTGGTGAACCATCACGTAACATTGAATTACCTAACCAAACCGACTATAGATTATTATCGAACTTATCCGATTTGAGATTTGTTATTTTTTTTTTTATTATTTTCACCTCTAAGCGCGCCACTTCCGAGAAATTCTATAATTACAATCGTAAGATTGTTTCAATCTATATATATATATATATAAATATATTACTTTTCTTAGCTGGTATTTCTTACCGCATGATTTATATCGTAATAAGTATGTTTTTTTTATTGTTCAAAAGTTATATCCTATACGAGTAAAATTTATTATTAAAAAATTGGTTATAAATATCTGTCATAATATGAAATTTAATTGTTTGTTTCAATACGGATTTAAACCAGGACCTGTGGTACCAGCAACCAACTCATCAGAACGAATAGGATTTCATTCAATAAATCGAAACCTATCGCGTCATTATGTTAAATTTCTCAAAAACAAATTACTTAGATTGCATTAACGTAAACAAACAGGGAATAACATTGATATTGATATAATCATATGTTCTAATCGATAGAAAATAACAAGGAAAATTATTTAATGAAATAATTGACGACCCGATTCATCAACATCACGAAGTACCACAAGGATCGATTAGTATTAGATCTAATAATCTTTAACCTAAACATATTTGAAGCATCACGTAAAATTAATCTCAATTCATCAGTACACTGACAATCTAATGATTTAACAAAATAGAGCCTTGCTGAAAAAATAAAACCCAAGAGTTATTTAATTATTATCATAAATAAAGGGATTCAAATGAAACGCGAGCAAAATACAAACCATAATCGTTGGACGACAACATCATCGACGTAATTAATCCCAATATTGACATCAAAAATCTAATTTCTGAAAACATCGTAAATATTAAAACAATAAGGAAACAGAACTATCCATGAATCACCATTTTGTGAACATATAAATAATATCACACAATAATTTTCCATAAGATTGACAATCACAAAATATAACATTAATTGGCTACAAAGTCTAATCGGAAAATACTCAGAGAAAAATTCATACATCAAATGGCGAATGATTTTAAAGAAAACTGAATTGATTTGATATTAATCATATAAAATGATCTAAGACAGGGAGAAAGAAAGAGAAAGAAAGAGAGAGAGAGAGAGGAATTACACGATGTGGCTGACTAAAACTAGAGTGTGACTACTGAAACCTTCACATTAAGTATGCACGGGAGAGATAAAAGAGATAGAGAGAATGCACTCTTATTGCTTCAACACATTCTGTTTATCGACATCTATTTTCTTGTCATTTATCTGTCGTTTTATTCATTAGTCTGATTTTGTTTTTTTTTTTTTTCTTTTTAATACTAAAACTTGTTCGACTTGACGTATATATATATATATACATATCAACAAGCGCGTTTAAATTATCTATCAGGAAAAGTGTCCGGTAAATTACGAAAGTTATATCTTAAGGCTAAAAAAAGAAAAAAAAAGTAAAGAAAAGTTTAAACCAGGGTTATCGTGAAATTAAATAAAAGCTTATTAATTAATACTATTTTATCTTAGAAATTAATCTTAATCTTTAATTATAATCATTTGTCCCCCTCCCCTTTTTATCTTTTATTCATTTTCTTCTAGTGAATAAATGTTGTCGAAGTAAATTGAAGAAATGTAGAAATAAATTGTGATAATTAAATGTTATCGTTGATCTCATTGAACATCCAAGAGTCAAATAATTTTTATATGGGTTCAAGATTGAACGCAATCTATAAAAGTTCAACAAATCGAAGTGTAGAAAAAAAAAAAATTGAGTGACATGTGTATATTCAAACGTTTAAATACTTGAATCAAAGAACTGTTAAGGTGCTCGTTAGTTACCGATACTTATAAAACTTATAGTGCATTATCCTCATTAGTGTAACGATTTTAACGATTGATTTTATAGCAAAGAAGGGTCAAGGATGATAATATCGAAAGCGTTACACAGCTAAGGACACATATCTTATCTCCCTTGAGTGGTGAACGTTTTCATTTCGGATTCCTACTCGGATTTATGGATCTAACTCTTCTTACATTTTCTCTGAATTCTATCATCTAATTCTGGTTTTTTTTTTTTAGTTTTTTTTTTTTTATCTTATGACTTCGACGTTAAAAACGAGTGTTACTTATCGTTCGAGATATCGTTCGAGGTAAAAATAAAAATAAAACAAACTCTTCTAACAAATGCACATTTATAAAAGTTACAGCTCTATTGGTTTATTTTGATTATGTATTTTTATATATAACGTATGAATATATAAATTGTTCAATAATTTATTTGACTGTATTGTTATGCATATAAACAACAATAAAAAATTCAATTATATATAATGTGTTCGAATATTTAAAAATGTATTTTTAAAAATGTTTCAACTTTTATCTTATTTAATTTGTTTTAATTTTTTTTCCTTCTTCTAAGTTAAATGTTTAAATAAAATTATCGTATGCATATGGATAAGTATACATGTTAAAGAAAAAATATGAATGTTATTTATAATTATTATTATTATTGTTATTATTATTATTATTATTATTATTATTATTATTATTATTATTATTATTATTATTATTATTATTATTATTATTATTTTAAATGTAGTATACCATAAAAGTTTAATTATTTATCCTTAAAAAAATCAATATACCTTTATAAAGTAAAGAATAGATCAACATATGTTCTCATACTTAAATAGTTACTTAACACAATGTTTACAATGACATTGGCCTGCTTTTTGTCTCACTAATGACAAAAACTCTAACACAATGCAACCGATGTTTAATTGACAGTCTCATTTAATTAATATACATCCTATTACGAATTATTGTCGATTAGCAATCCGTTAAGGTAATATCGATTGTATACATGTTGTTATATGTCTAAGACAAAAAACAAAGCATTATTTTTAACCGATTGAATTCGAGATATCTCTAATACGAATTCATTAAAATAATATTCTATTTATTTATGAGAATAAATCGACTTATATCGATAAATGCATTATACTACCTTGTACAAAATAATATGGCTTCTAGATTTTCCATTCTATGCCATTAAACGAATTAAATCTTTTGTATATATGGCTTCTATATGATCTAATAGATTAGACTTTTATATGCTTCCACCTTTAACATTTGACTATATTATATAATATTCAAGGTGTGTCTCTCTCTCTCTCTCTCTCTCTCTATTATGTCTAGAGAATTAATATTACATTATTATTTCCGTGAAATGAAAATAATATATTAGAACAAGATAATCAATGGTCTAGTTACGTTGAATTACTAGTTTTGATGAAATTATTAAAGTTAAGCACATTCGTGTGGACACGATTGAAGGGCACGACAAAAAAGGGGAAGTAAGAAAAAAAAACACACACAACATATTGGAATAAGATAGTAGATCGTTGTGGAAAAATAGTTTTTTTTATGAAATTCTTGTTCATATTTTTTTTATTCATATACTATATAGTCTACATATGTACACTGCTTAGATGTTGCACCATATTTATGCATCATGTACACGAATCACAAGAGGAGGAGATTACAAATGTTCTTATAAATGATATCCTCCAAACCTTGGTAAAGTGAAAAAGAACATAGGTAAGGAAAATACACAAGGACGTTTCCATGTGTGAAAATATAAGATTATCAATTCTATCCACCATAATCTGTTTGATTATTCCACCTTGATTCATTATCAAATATCTTCGTTTAAGAGTTATAAGGAAAAGAAGAAAAATATATAATCTACATTTAAATATGAAATAAATATAAATTATAATATATAAATAAATCTCTCTCTCTCTCTCTCTCTTTTTTTTTGTTTCTTTTCATCACACAATATTATATACGAATTTTTAATTCTAATTAATTCGATCGACTTTTTACGAATGTCTTTTCTTTACCAAGGAAAATAATTGAACGAATTTCAATAAAATTTCTAACAACTTATTATATTACCTCCTAAAACATAAAAATATTTATACACCGTTTGTAAAACATCATTAAGTAGATTATATTATCTACTTATTGAATGAAAAAGTTGAATTGAAATGAAGAAAGAAAAATATTGATCACGTTTACATATTACTTTGCCATACATTCATCAAATCTAGAAACAAATCATTTGTTCTTATCTTACAATTTCTAATGCGTTGTTGTATACCTATGATAATGTTCATTGTTTAGAACTAGATCGTCATTATCACAACGGCAATGTTTATCAGTAAAAATTAGAAAATCACGTGAGAATTCAGTCGAGAATACATATTTCTTTTTATATATGCATTCATTGCCTTTAATCGAACACGTTAGTCCTGTATACATATATATGTATATATACATATACGTGATAGATGAAATGCAATTCAAACAAGAACGTGATAGATCATATAATTATGTAAACACTTTATACGGCCAAAATAAGGAGAAAAAAAATATAATCTTATGAAATATTAGCGATTTACATTGTAGACTTTATTGTAATTAATTAGATAATTTTTTTTTTTCTTGCACTGCAAAGAAAATCACACATTATGTCACGTTGGTATATAATCACAGACTTATTAAAATCAATACCGATCGATCAATTTCTAACGATCGAATTTTTCAATGCGCCGAATAAAATTAACTTCAATTTTGTTATCTTTTATCTGATTTTTAAAATAACGAGTTTAATGTACTACAACGATTTATCGAAATATGTGTGAAAAAGTAACATGTTAAGAGAATGTTCATTGGATCAAAGGTTAAACTTGAAATTGAACAAAAGTAAGCCCCCCATAGCTGCAAATTATTAATTGTGCTGGTAATTATTATTTTTTTTTTTATTATAAAAGTAAATTATAAAATTATATGTTTTTTTTTTTTAAACATTAATAAATTTAATTTAAAATAAAACATAGATCATAAAATCAAGATTTTAAATTGTTTAACTTTATCCATTGTTATAATTACCAACATAAATAGTGAAGGGAGCTATAACTGTAAACGATGTATTACATTCTGTTCTTACTGTTACACAGTATTTTATATATTATTATTATTAATATTATTATTTTTATTCTTATTAATTATTATTATTATTATTATATCAATATTCTTGTCTTATGGTGCAACGTATTATTTTACTTTTCAGGATAGAAAATTTTGTATATAAGCGGCATAGAAACGGAAGCTCATTTTAGCGAGATACGGACGATTTCTCGAAATAGAGAATAATATGCCATAGAAATTATAAGACCATGTTTTCACACAATGCTGATCACAAACACAAATATCTTTTGTTCAGTCTTGTATAAAATTTACTCTCATTGATAGAAGAACAGTCTCGGCCATAAATATGGCAATTTTTTCATTAACTTCAATAACACTAACTTTAAACAAAAGGCTGCATCATCTTCAAGAAATATTTACTCTCACGATCCTTTTCAGCAAGTAGTTGCGTGTTTTGCTTTTTGTGCAGCTATACGTTGACTTCGTCTAAGTGTACGCGGTGCTGTTTCCGCATCATTTTCGTCTTCGGATTCAAAATGATAAAATCCAGTTTTACCTGAATACCGCCAACTAATTACCGCACCATCCCACTGAAAATAAAAGAAAATCGTATTAAAATGAATCAATATTTATTTCCGTTATATATATATATATATTTAAAAGAAGAACACGTATTATTTTTACCGAAGTTGAAACAATTTCTTGATGAAATGGATGCCAGCTTACATCGCGTACACATTTTTTATGACCCAATAATGTATTAACGATCTGTCCGGTTAAAACGTCATATACTACAAAAATGAAAAATTCGATATAATTAATCCATGTAAACTGATATATTGTTAATAGTTTTAATATATCAAACACAAAAATTTACTTATAACTCTGCCCGAAGCACATCCTGTATAAATGTATCTTTGACCTGTTGTAGTAGAAGGAGAAAAGTGGCAACGTATCAAGGTTTGAAGAACATAATGACCACGATATGTCATGATACTGGTATCACCTTCTAACATATTTTTAGCTTTGTATACTGCAACAACATTGACATATCATATAGTAATATATTAGACGTAATCATAAAATTGATGTAACAGGTGATATAAGTCGTTTACAAATTAAATCGATTAACTGATCAATCTGATCAATAGTTAACTTTTGCAATAAGTAAATGAATAGCTTATGTATAAACAACAACTTGTATTATTCTTACATCTTCTAGGTACTCTTTGCCATCTGTAATCCCAATTTTGATTTGCAACTGCATTACGTGTATTCTGTTCAGCATTATGATCAGAGAATGCACGAACATCCCATAATTTGATTGTTTGGTCTTTGCTATTTGTAACCAAATATCTACCATCTCCACGTGGATCAATATATGTAATACCATCCATATGACCAGCTAATACGCCAACTGGATGTGGATCTGTTTCACTAAGCGTTCTCCTATCCCATACCTAAATCATAATATTGGATTAAACAAAATAATACATACAAAAATCACTTTTATAAACTATTTATATAATCAATTTACCTTACACAATCCATCGTCACCTGCACTGTACAAAATTTGAGAAGTATTATCAGCAAAGGCAACAGTATTTACATCATCATCGTGACCCTCGATCTGTAAAGTAATAACACATGAAATAAATCAAATTCAGAGATAGAATTTACAATATAAAAAATATATTGAATATTTAATAAACAAACCCTGAAAGCACGTTGATGACATTCTCGATCATATACATAAAGATAGCCATTATTAGCACCACCTAAAATTTCTCTACCATCGCTAGAGAAGACTAAAGAGAATATACAAAATCTTCGATCTCCAGGACACAACGATAATGATTCTTGTGTATTCGAATCTCCATAAACAGGACAAAGATATACTAAGAAAAAACAAAGGTAGGTAGTTATAATTATTAGCACTTAAAATTAAAACTAATATTATATTACTTACGGCATTCAGACCAACTTGAGTATACGATATAATTTCCATCTGGACTAAATGCGGTGTCTAAGATACTCCAACCAACGTCACGTGCGGAAATTTTTTTAAATTCCACAAATTTGCCATCATCGGTATGATAGAGACGTAACAGTTTATCTGTAAAAAAAAAAAGAATCATATTATAAAATATTCATTATATATGTTTTAAATAATGTTTATATAAATTACAGTATACCTTGACTTGCTGTAAGGAAGAACTTTCCATCTTTTGAATAGGAACCGCAGAACACTTTGCTATCATATTTTGCTACTTGACGCGGTTTGTTCGGTAAGAAATTGCTGCTTATTCTACATTTTTCACCTATACTAAAACCAAAACCAAGGGATCTCTTGTGAATCATTGATGCAATAGATAAATTTCTGTTGCCTGAATTATCTTTAAGGCCACATCCTTGCTTGGTAGCTAAACTTATTTCACTTTGCTGCAATATTAAAATATGTGAGATAAATAATTAATTATAATAGAGAAAAAAGAAACAATAGAAAAAGCTTACATCAAGTCTCGACGTGTTCGGTAAAGACATGATTTTTGGTGGCAGTAAGCTTGCTGCATACTCTTCATCGGAATCATCATGATTAGAAGCTATGATATGTACTTGTCCACTAAAAGAAATCAATATTATTATTTTTCAATACTTTGTATAAAGATTTATATACATGCAATATTTTTTTTTTTTTTTTTAGAATAGAAATCATTGGAATTAAAACGTATGGTTGCTTAAAAATTGAAACGTAAATGTTAAGGTACTTGAAATAATAAAAAAAAGTAAGTAAATATTAGGAAATAAAGACATATTACTGATTTATCATGCAGTAGAAATGACGACAACTCAAATATATTACTCTTGTACAGAAAAAAAGAGTAATAATCGTACTACGTATGACGGAATATAACGACCACATATTCGTACAATATATAAAACGTAATAAAATGAAAATAACACAAGTTGATAGAGCCAAGGTTCGTATATTCTATCAAATTAAGATAAACTATGAAAAGCAAGAGTTTATTTCCAAACGATTCTCGATGAAATCCTTGAAATGAGAAATGAGATAAGGAGGTTACATCGTTGACAGCTTTGATGTCGTCAAAGTATTGAAATCGAGAGGTACGTAGTGACGCAAAAAAGCGGAAATACGATTATAATTGAAGAGTTAGTGTATAAGTAACTTGATATAGAGAAAAATGAAGTATATGAAATGAACGTTGTCGTGATCTGACGAATAGGGGATTATACTTTGATTGAAATCATATGAGAGTTGAGGTTAGGAAAAGCACGAGGGGTAGAGAGAGGGGTATCAATGCTAGAGCGTTTAAAAAAGTTAAAAGGTATTCGACAAACCTTCGTATTAAATATTGCAAGACCGCGGCCAGGGTCGGGTCCTGATCGAAATCCATACTACGAGAGTTGAAGCCTCCCATGCAGCGACTAAATGAATAATATTTACTATTGTAAAATCAAACAAGATATAAACTTCGAATGGTATTGTGATGGTAAGTCTAGCTTGATGGTTTGGTTTAGTGATGATGTTGGCTCTGAGGTGGAGAGTTTGGAGGGAGGTAAAAAAACAACCGAAGTCGGTACTAGAATTATAGTGACTCTCACTCTCTCTCTTTCTCTCTCTCTCTCTCTCTCTCTCTCTCTTTCTCGAAAACTTAAAGGAACGATCACCAATTGATTTTTATCTTTTTCTTTTCTTTATTTATTACACTTAGATATAACTATCTAGATTTTACATACTCCCAACGAGCATTTTCTTTTTACATATATATATATATATATATATATGTAATATTATATTTAATATTACATATATATATTTAATAATTTATTATAAGTTAATATTATATATGCAATATTTTTGAATTTTTTTTTAGTTTTTTTTTTTTTCAACTAAATAAATTCAAAGTACTTATAACAAAATGATATTTTTCTTTGTGATTACGAGAGGCCCTCGAATATTTTATTTATTTGTTTCTTATCTCGAAATATTTCGTTTACTTAATTACGTATGATTAAGTAAGTGACGTTGACATTTTGATTGAAAACTAAGAAATCGACGTTAGAAATTTTTTTTTCTTTTTTTTTTCTTTTTTTTTTCTTTTTTTTTTTTATGTAAATGCAAATCGTACGAATGATTAACGGTATATTTTTTTTGTAATTTTTTTTTGTAAATGACTTTACTTTGCGATTAAAATTACCCTGATTATCTCTATTATTATTGTCATTAATTATAGTTTAATAAAACATTTAAATTTTTAGTATTTACAGATGAATAATATTATTGCAACAGATCGTATATTTTATAAATCGAATTCACTTCGACCATAGGGATTTGTTAAACCAGAAAATTACAACATATCATTAATCGTTAATTTGGTATTTTCGTGTAATTTTTAATGTATGCTTATTATATATACATGATAAACAAAATAATTTATTAGACGTAAAATGTTTTTGATAAATAATTGAAAAGATAAAAGAGAGAGATACATTTCATTTGTAATTATTTCGACGATGTTATTATAATTTTGATATATAATAATAAATATTACTATAGATATAACCATAAAAAAAAATCGAAGGATTAACGAATATTTGAAAATTTGTTGAATAAAAAAGAATTCATTGTATTTTACATCATTATAAATCACGTGGATAGATAAGAAATATTGCAAGTCAGACTTAACACTTCAGTTAAGTTGCATATAAAAATGCAATAATGTATATATATAGCTACATAGTAACGTAGGCGTTTCTTTATTGGTTAAAACATTTTACTATCTCTCAATTTGATTCGTACTTTTTGAGGTAAATACTACTACGTGACTCAAAGCCAAAGCACTGAATCTAAGATGGAGAATGGCGGGCAAATTTGAATCTTCAATCAAATATCAATAATCGATAAGTAAAAGTAAAATAGTCGATAATGTAGAAAACTATTTATTAAATCAAGAAAAATAATTATTACGATAGAAAAAAAGAATAATCAGAAATGTGTGTGTGTGTGTGTGTGTGTGAATCAGCTTTATATTTTACGTATTATTTTATATTTCAGAAAATATTATTAGAGTAATCCGTTATTACTCTTCATAACAAATGCATGGAAAACATAACTTGTAAATTAGTTTTATTAGGTAATACGATTATATTTGAAAATGTCAAATTTAATTTCTAATATAAATGCGTAACGAATAATATATAGAGGAATAGACCATAAATCCTTATTTTATTATCAAAATAACAAATTAACTAGTTAACAAATTGCATACGGTATTGTACTTGTTCAATTCTTTTCTAAGTACTGTACGCAATGTTTTAAAGATTTTCGGATGAAACTTGTTTGTATAAAGTAAAGTTTTCATTATAATATCGAATTTGAATATCCAGTATTTGCTTGAGGCGATTAAGAAATTTGTAATGTTGATCGAAGTTATCGAGTATTCCCTTAACAGTCATTCGTTTGTCTACATACACATATAAGTATTAAAAGAATCACATAGATGAAGATAAAAAGATAGCTAGAAATAAAAAGAGAAGGAGAAGAGAGTAGGATAGTAGTATAGAAAAAGATGGAGAGGTATGCCCGGGGGAAGAGTCCTGTGCGTCATTTTTATAAAGTATTACGTACGTTATTGCTTTTAAGTTTATACACACCGAGTACCATTAAAGATAAAATTAATGTTCCCCGACAAGAAAAACTATTATCTTTTTCTTTTATCTCTTGCTAAGGAAATGAAAGTATATTAAAAATCGAGATTTATTTGGATTCTATGAAGAAAAAAGAAAAAGACGCTGGAAAATGAATTAATCGAGTACAGGGACGTTCGATTCGTTAGCCGATCGTCGAGGACGAACTTGTTGCAATCAATAGCCTTGACCTATATAGAGAATGCTCAAGGCCGAAGTACATGAGCCGGCATTGAACGGGAAACGATATGGTTAAAGATGGGGTTAAAAAAAGTAGCTGAAAGGAGATTAAATAGAGGTGTTTCTTAGAAGATCGGTAGACGGGTAGGAAGAAAATGCGAATATGAGAATAAGGGTGTACTAGTTGAATCTATATTGACAAGAAGAGAAACGTTGTGAGAGCAATAGAGAAGAGTCAGGAGACGAGGTGAGGCAGGCAAGGCAAAGTGAGGTGAAGAGAAGTGAAGCAAGGCGAGGCCAGGCCAGGCCAGGCCAGGTCAAACTCTATCCCCTGACCTCAAATCCCCTAGCAGTCGGAGCTACCTGCAGCCCAGACCTATAATTTCCAGGTAGAGAGGCCTACACACCCTGGCCGGAGCCGGGCCGGAGCCGATCCGTATCTAACTATATATTCCTATTACGCTTTGGAGGAGGCGTTTGGCGCTTGCGCATCTTTCCTCACACCGGAGAGGATTCAAAGTGGGCTGAGAGAATGAAAGAGAGGGTGAGTGAGTGAGTAAGCGTGAGAGAGAGAGTGCTCCCGTTATCCTGTAAACAGGATCTTTCCTTCGACCCTCCAGTCTCGCGACGGACTTCGGTCGTCCTGTTGAAACATTTCGTGCATTTGATTTTTCAATAAAGTTCCAATTACTTTGAAAAAAAAAGAACGACGCATTATTCTAAAAATAAAAAATAAAAAATAAAAAATAAAAATAAATATTTAATTATATATATATATATATATATATATATATTTTTTGTTTCTTTTACAATTAGAGAATATTCTCTTTAGTGTGTTACGTCACGAAACGCGCCGCGTCGTCGATTCGCGTTGACAGTATACATTCAGCACGTAACTCTCGGCAACAGGTGAGATATTGCGAGCTACGAACTGACACCTTCTTTTTATTCTTATTTTCAATCTATTTTTAATATTCGATAATATAGCTTTTCCTTCCTTCCTTCCTTCCTTCCTTTCTCTGTCGTCGACGTTTAGTTGACTATGAAATATCGGATATCAAGGTTTACGACACTGAATTTGCTAACTCGAAATTTGATTTGTTAGGGTTAAATGAATGTTAATTGAATTTCTAGTCGAATCCCTAGATTTTACCTAGATCTTGGATTCGTCCGTTTCTTTATTCAATTTTACAAATGGATGATAATTTATCTTATCAATTTATTTCATTTCAATGAAATTATTTTAATACATCTAATTAGAGAATTTTTTCCTGTACTTTTTTTTTTTTTTTAGTAATCGTATTAATTGTATCCCCTTTTGAAAAAGAAAGAAATGATTTAATTAAAAACTCATTCGACCATGCACGAGACTTTCGGTATTTCGAGATTGAAAGTTTTCCTTTTATTCTTTCTTCATAAATACAAAAGAACTCGACATCTATTCTCTTGGTTTGGTCAAAGAACAAATTGATTTTGTTAACTTTGTAAAAACAAAAATCGTAAAGAGAGATATCTTTTGTTGGGGAAATTTAATGAATAATTAACTGTAATAAACAAAATAACATAATAATTTTATGAATAAAATAACATTAATATAACATAATTTTCTTTTTTTTTTTCTTTCAAACTGTTATTTTTAATCGATGTGATTTCGTTTGAGAAAATAAAAAAAAATAAAAAGAAATGAAAAAAAGGAATAAGAATAGTATGAGAAAAGAAAAGAGAAAGTTTTGATTGGCATCGTAAATAGAAGGAGAGTGCAACGTCACGAGAATGAAAGTATTTATAGATGAAACAGGAGACTCTTTCAATGTTCACCCCCTTAACACGTGTACACCAATATACGTGAAACAATAATTTGAAGAGAAACTCAATTATCGTTCAAATTTATTTCGAGTAACTCGACATTTATCTACGTACTACGATATTTGTTAAAGTTCTATTTCCAGTAGTACTTATTTTAATAAAATTTAATCAACAAGTTGCATAAATTCAATTATAATATATCAAATGATGAAAGGAAAATCTTGTTCGACAAGTTTCAAATTGGAAAGGTCACGTCTGACCAATTCTTGACACGTTCTACTGGGATTAGTAAAAAAAAAAAAAAAGGGCAGAGGGTAATTTAACCCCGGTACTTAAAAATTATTTCATTTTATTTTTATTTCTAATGTCATATATTGTGGATAGATTGTAAAAGATTATTAAAAATTGAATTTTCATTTTTACGAAAGGAAGAGAAAATATTTTTCAAAGTCATCAGTGTATATGTTTAAATGTTTGATTTTCGTTTGATAAATATCAATAAAAAAGAAGAGTAAAGAAATAGGTAAGAATATGAGAAAATGTATAAAAGGTAGGAAGGAAGGAAGGAAGGAAGGAAGAAGAATCGATTCGATGCGGAAATGCGCCTATCGAGAATCATATTTCCGGAACGGAAAACATTGTATCTCACGTATACGACAATGACTTGTCTTATATATTCCTTTTGTTTTCTCATTTTCAATAGTACCAACAATATAATTATAATTTCATTAATACGAGCGGATAATAACGCAAATAATAAATTTACAATTTGATTTACAAATGTGCCCCTATAATTATGAAAATGGTCTAACAATAAGTCATATTATCTTTTGTTTGGAAATATTTAAAGAATTACATTTGTGAACACTTATAATTATTAATAAATAAATATATA